TAAATACTGTGTTTGCCAAGATTTACCCATCTGTCGAGATAGCAACTGGGGATGGCTGGGAATTTTTTGGGGGGGAAGTCAGGTCTTGGATTTTTTTTTTTTTCTAGAAATAATGCCAAAAAAAAAAGTTTTGAAAGTGTTGAAATTACATCTTGACACTTAACCCCTCCACCAATGTCTGCTTTATATTTAATTTATAATCCAACTATATATTTGCAGACCCAAAACCTAAGTGAAACCATTTGAAATTATTTGAAGTGCAGTGTTTCAATTGACCTGATCTAATTTGGGGTTTATAAATTCACCAGACTTCTTGAGATTAAAGTGTTCTGTCTTCACTTAAGTATGGAAACATTTTCAAGCCTCAAAAATTATCCCACATTGGGGAAAATGTCTCCTGCTCCACTCTGCTCTCCTCACAGTCTGAGGAAATGAAGGAGGGAGTCACAAGACTTAAAGCAATTCACTTACCGCACTTTACTAAGTTACAGTTCAACTACAGTAGTTGACCATGTGCCTGTTTTTAGCACAACAGTCACTTTTGATTCCCGCAGCTAATATCATCTCTGTGCAGTCACTCCAAAAAATGTGTTTCTTCTGCAGCGCTCGCAGAAAGTGAGTTCATGTCCCTGTGCGTGAGTTGCCAATGTAATTTATTCCAGCAGCTCCCCTCTCCCAGCAAAATAAGCCATACCATGCTTGTGTCCCCGCTCGTGAGCTCTCCTCAGTCTCCTGTCCAGAGTGCAGGGGAGATTATTTATGTTCATTAGAGCTCTGGATGAATTGCCAGTACAGAAGAAGCAATGACTAATCTCTGTGTGGCTTTTCTTCTCCCATTCATCGCTAGGTCGTTGTGGGAGGAGCCCCTGTGCTGCACTATGTTGTGAGTTACTGCTGTCACCCAAAACTTGATTATAAGGGGTTATAATCTATGGTGTTTGGGAAGCAGGATGAGTTGTAGCCCACAGGCTGTCACTGCAGGTCTGCTTTCCAAAGCCATTTGCCAGCTTCCCATCTGGGATGTGAAGTTTTCAGGAGGGGATTCAAACACTTCCCATTTCCAATCTTCAATGGCTCTTGCACCCCAGAAGCCTTTTCCAGCAGTTTAGATTTTCACTTTGTATCCCATGTTTAAACCTAACATCTGAAGGGCAACTCCCTTTGGCTTTCTGTGGTTTCTGAAGGGCCAGGTATTGCTATAGGGAGGCCCTCAAACAGCTCCCACCTCTGGTTGCTGTCAGATACTTGTTCCCACTTCGCTGCTGATTGTGCTGTACACGTTTAGGTCTCTTAGTTTTAACTTACAAGCTGATGCTTGATGTAGTGGTCATTTCAGTTCTTTGTGTTTTTAGTGTGCCTTTGCTTGGGGGTATTTTTCTTACTGGTATATTAGGGTGTATTGTTCATCTTGGGTGAGATTCTTTCTTTGCCATGGATAGGCAGTTTTAACCTCAAGAGAGGCAGACCCAGACTCAGCACTTAACATTGGGCTGACCTTCTATTTAGAAATGGACGGTTCTTTCCCTATCCTTTTTAAACTCAAAAAATTGGTTGAACTTCGAGACACAAGTGTCTCTGAAAAAGAAAGGTGGTCCCTGCCTTTTAGCCAAAAATATGGGAAAAGGGTGGTAAGCTTTCCCCTCAGCCCATGCTGGATTTGTGGTCCATATTCTTATGACATGAATTTGACTACACCCCCTGGGTCTGATGTTTCCTAGCTGGTTCTTATCTTTCTTCTCTGTGCCTTGCTTTGGCCCTCTGTGTAGCTCATCAGATGCATTCAGCTCTACCTGTTGATTACAAAGAAGGCTGGGAATGGAAGCTTGGGAGAAAAGAAGAAAAATAGTGCTATTAGGTTTTTTTCTTCATCTTGTTTCACTTTCTGGAGGTCTGAAAGCTCCAAGAGGTGCTAGGAGAGTTAGCTAAACTGTGAAAGAGAGCAAAATCAAGAAGCCAAATTTATAATCCTACAGGGATGCTATTCCCATAATGTGCAGAAATACCTTTGTGCAGGTTGTTAGCTGCTGGGGCAGCACTTAGGCATGTGGGATAACCTGATTAGAGAATCAAAGAAAACCCTGTTAGCTCCACAGGCCAAATCCTGCCTTACAGCAACTTGATGTCAAATGGGTGTGAATCAAGGAAGCTTTCCTTTTGGCATCTTCTGGTAACACCTTGAAGAGAAGGGTCTGAGCCAGGGTTCTAGCAAAGGAAGAGGCTTAAGCAAATATACTTCCAGACAGGGAGTGAGCTGGAGTCTGAAACTAATGACTTTGTTTTTCCTCACTGGTACAGACTTGGAAGGATGAAAAGAATAAATTTCTGCAGTCTCATTTACAGGTTGTATAGAAGACTTAATCAGGAGTTGGTTAATTTAAAACGCTTGTCTTGCTTAGCTGCAAGAATGTCAAACAGTGTGACTGAGCTGAGATTTGGGAGCAGAAGACGTGCATTTTCTGAAGGCATAACCCAGAAGTGTGATTACCTGCTGTCCTGGGCACTACAAAACTCCCACCAAAGTCAGCGTTAACATGAAATGTCGGACGAGATGATTGTAATGATCCCTCGCGGTCTTAAACCCTGTGTCTCTGAAACATGTGAGTAGGAGTTGTATCAGATCTGTAGTGAGCTGTATCAGATCTGTAGTGAGAGCGTTTCCAGGCCACGCTGCTTGGTGTTAAACCCCTTGGCAGGGTGGCTGCAGCTGCAGGTTTCTGCTCCGTTCAGAGGACCAGGTGGGCTGTGCTCAGTGTTGCTGCCTGGAGCACTGTTCCGTAGGCTGTGGTGGCAGACCAGGGAAACCTCTTAGCAGATCAACTCCCAATGTGTAGGTAAGCTGTGAAACTCCAGCCATGTTGTGGGTGCTCAGTGTTTATCAGAATTCAAAAAGCAATCAGGGAAGTTTATGGGAATTACAGCCACTTGAGGCTCAGTACGGAGAAGTTGAGCTCTGGCTCGGGAGGTCCCAAAGCCAGAAACGGCTGGAGGCTGGGAGCATATCCTAAGGAATGGCTGTGTTTTGCTTGCCCTGTTCTCATACCTTGGCCTCTGTTTTTGGCAATGGTTGGAGTCGAAGCAGGCAGTGACTTGGTGAGGCAAACGCTCCGTACCCACGCATACAGAGAAGTTGTCATTAGTTGCCTTCCGAGTGGCACAATCTTCCGTTGGTCTCTGCAGGTATGCTGCGTTGCTTCCTTGGCAATACAGAGAGCAGCACGGATACGGACTCAGATGATGTGATCTGCTTATGCAAAGCAAAATGGTGAATTTGCCAGGTTATTCCTCCAAGAAGGAAATTATTGACCTTGCTTTTTCTGGCATACCAGCTACTGTTATAATGATTATGATGGTGACAGCAACCAGAAAGAAAGGCCAGCAATAATTCTTTCCTGCCCATTATTACAAGGCATAAAGTAAAATCCAGCCTGAAACTAACTCTAGTCTGGCTGTGCTGTCTTTGCAGATGTGTTAGGCAGTTCTCATATGGGTTGAAATTCGGGACTTCTCATATCAACCTTTCCAAAACCAATCCTTTTGATCTTCTGATATGAACCTGTGCATCTCCATGTTTGTATCTTACCAGTGATTTGCAGCCCAGAGATAATGTCCGATAACAAATATGTGAGTGTAGAAGTAACCTCTCTGAGCTCCTGGGTGATTCATCTCCTGACAACACATTTTGGCTGCACATGTAAGGGCTGGATCTTGCCCCTGAGAATATTGGCTCAAAGAAGCAATAACAATGTGGTCAGTCAAAGCACTACTTTCCCTGGGAATTTTGTTACATGAGGAAGCAGAAGAACTTTAGCCTGCCCGTGTTTGTCAACATGATCTGCCTTCCAGCAGCTTTTTATACTTCTGTCCCATTAGATTTTTGTGTTTCCTTTTTTTCCCCTCCTTATTTCTTAATCATAATAAGTATCGTAATCATAGACCTTCTGCCTCATCCAAGATGCAAATGTTGATTAATAACATTATTTGATAACTCCACATGCATCAAGCAAGAGTAGTGAGTGAAGTTCACTTTCTCAAAGTCCAGTGAAATGACCCAAATCATGGCCACAGATTTATTGTTTCCATCTGTCTATGTGGGTTGCATCCTCCATTCATGAAATATGTCTTTTAAGGTGCTTGGTTTGAAAGGGTAAGTTGGACATTTGGTGCCAGAAGTCTTGCTGTGCCTCACAAACGACCATCTGAAGCAAAACTGTGTTGGTGTTTCTATAACTGATGGCAAGGGGGTTGAAATGAGATGAATCAGTGGACACCACTTGAAAGGAGGAGGTTTTTTTGGCTCCAGTGCTTCAGGAGCAGGGTAGTATGTAAAACCTCTGCGGCAAGGAGCATGGCCTTAGAGCTGGCATTTCACAGTCATTGTCTCAAACATTGTGGTCCAGAGATAAATGAACAGTGTCAGTCATCCTGAGCTCCTGTCCTTGTGATGCTTTCATTGCAGACACTACTTTATTCTCTCCCCAGACTCAACAGCAGTATCTGTGGTGGAAGAGGAAGATTGGAATTTTCTTATAAGGCAGATAAAGATCCTTTATGGGAGCTCTGTTGGCAGAGCAGTTTGAGGGTCTCTGTGTAGCCCCAGGATTTGAGCTTCAGCTTTGCACGGCACATTGTGGAGGTTGTCTCTAACCAACTCAGCTGCAAAAGGTCATTCAGTCTGGGCAGTTCAGAGGCAAAAACCCAGGAGTGCAGGCTGCATAACTCCTTTGCGTGCTCTTGGCTACAGAAGCCACAATGTCTCAGATACACCCACCTGATGGGCCATCTCTGATCGCTTATCAGAGCTGCTGAGAGAAGGCTTGGTTTGTGTTCTCACACTATACTGAAGGCATGACCCTGTGCTGTTATCATACTCTGTTGACTGTACTGTGCCTATCTAGAAGAAATGAAAAGAAAGTACCTAAAGCTTCCAAGTAGACCAGCTGGCCTTTGTTAACGTCCTGCTGAGAAGGTGTTCACATCTGTTGTGTATGTTTTGTTTGCAGAACACGCTGGAGCAATGCAGCGTCTGTGCAAAGCCCATTATGGAAAGGATCCTCCGAGCCACTGGGAAGGCCTACCATCCCCACTGCTTCACCTGTGTGATGTGCCATCGCAGCCTGGATGGGATCCCCTTCACAGTGGATGCTGGTGGGAACATCCACTGCATCGAGGATTTCCATAAGTATGCCCTAAGCGGCTTTCAGTGGTTTTGCTTATTGTCTTTCTCTTTTGTCCCTAAAAGTCCTCCTTTTTTAGCCTGAGTGTCCAAAAAGATCTGAACTCTTTGCCACTTCCTTCCAAGGCTCTTAATTAATAGGCAGAGCTTTGCTCTAGGCAGGCGCACCGTGGCATACAAGATTAATTGGTTAGAGCCTGATATCTCTGTTTTGCTTAGGTCTGAATTTGTGGGTAACCTCTATGTTCATCTGTTTTAAATGTTCTGCGTTTCCCCCTGCCTTCCCCTGCACTCAGCTTGTGCACATTTCTCCTCATTGCCTGTACCTGCCCTTCCACATCGGCGTCTCCCCCCTTCTTCCACCAAGCAATTAAGAGAGGTCTTGTACTGTTGCACTCTGCAGGTGTTTGCTTACCGGCTAGAGGGATCTAGGTGGCCACAGGATGCTCACAGCTCCTCTTGTTTCTCGTTGCTAATTAGGTTTTTAAAGCTGCTAAAAATACAGCCCTGGTAATAATTTATACTGAAACTGCTATTTAAAGTATGTTGAAAGGTATAGTTGCAAGTAGTTTCTGTCACTGCCATGCTACCACCCCCATCATCACAACTAATCTAGGGAAGACAGGTAGATATAATCAGAGCACAAATGTTTCCCCTGTACGGAAAAGACAGACACGTTACACCCCTCAATTAAAAGAAGAAATCAATACTGACAAATGTGAGTTTACATCTCAACCATTTATCTCTTAATTTCTAAGGGGGTAGACTTAATGAGAGCCTCGTGACATCAGTGTGTGGGCCTGAAAGCTCAAAGAAGCAGGCTGACTTGACAGAAAGGGAAGCAGCTGCGATCAACTGGCATGTTAAAATCCAGGATGAGAATGTTCCCTGTAGCTCAGAGAGGCAGTGTTAATTGGCAGCTGTTATGTTACCTTGCATTTCTGAGCCAGCAGTCGTGTGCAAGGCAAAATTGCTCCTGAGCAGAGGCCTGAGAGAACACTTACACACCACTTGGGCTCCTGAAGGATTTGCCTCACGTCCACTTAACATTTGGAGGCTGCTCCTTCCCCAAGCCCCACAGGCCAAGGGCTCACATGCCTTCAGGAGAAAGGTTGAGAGGGAGAGCTGCTATCCCATGTTGAAGTCTCTTGGCAGCAACTAGATCTGGACTTCAGGGCTCTGAGAGTGAGTAGTGGGAGGCTGTCAATCCAAGGAAAGGACACAAAATTGGTGAGTGAAAGATTGAGGGGAAGATGATGGGAATACCGTGAGACCTAATGTGACACTCAGAATGTCTTTGGCCAACCACACACTTAGCAGCGCTTCAGCCAGCCCAGTTTTAATTTATAGAATCATAGAATGGTTGAGGTTGGAAGGGACCTCTAAAGGTCATCTAGTCCACCCCCCTGCCCCGCAACTGATCTGGGATGACACGTTTTCCTGCTCTGGAGGTCAAGTGCACTACATCTTTTACATTCTTTCAACAACAAAACTGTAGCTGATGCTCACGCTGTCCCTTAGCTACCCACTGAGTTTATGCCCTGCAGTAGCACATCCACATCCCCTGAAATCTCCAGGAGTCATCTCTGGGTCCTGGGAGTTAATACTTGGCTCATAATGAATTACCCACAGCGGCCTGGACAGAGAAATGTTGAAGTATTTTTAAGCACCACATTTGAGCTAAATGGCACAAGGAAGCGCCTGCATGAAGCAGCATATAATTAACTGCGATTACAGCTCCGGTCAGATCATGATCCATTTAAGTTATTTTTCAGAGCGCTCGCTATAGCCACTGTTTAATTCATTTTTTCGTTAGATCGCAGCTACACAGACATCTTTCATCTGCTGCCAGTGAAATTAATATTTTTCTTTATTCCTAGTAACGACAGATTTTTTTTTTTTTCTTTCCTAAGCTAGTTAATTCTGAGGTGGTTCATGTGACAGGCTGGGTGGCAGAGTCAATCTTTCCTAGGCATTTCAGAAGAGAAGCACCTTTGATCTCCTTGTGTTCTGATGTTTGCCATAAGCATTGCCCTCTCTTGCTCCATAGCCTGTGACCCCAGCTCTCATTATATGGCAGCAGATTCTGTAGGTATGTTTCTTTTTTCTGAGCAGAATTTGCAGCCAGGGAATTGGTACCCATAGATTTGGAACCAAAACAGCAAATAACAATTCACCACAGGCTAAATGATCTCAAGCATCCCCACATGCCTAGGAGCAGGGATGGCCACTTCTTATGGGCAATTGCAGGGAGCAAAACCAGAGCTAATACAGAACACCTGCAAATTAGCCAGATGGGCATACGGTGGGCAATATAAGGGGAAAAAGAAAGGTCTGTGCTCCTCTTGATCCCTCAGCTGACCTTGATTCAAGCCAGTCCCTTCACACAGTGAGTGATTGCCACTATGCAGCTCAGGCTGACTGGAAGAGAGATTGTTGGTGTCTCTGCACCCAGACTTGTTCCCTGCTAAGCCTGGGCAACCTGCTAATGGATAACTGCTAGAAAATGCAGCAAGTCAGAATTGCCATGATGCTGCTTGTTTGAGAGTGAGCACAGCCAGGAGCGTGTGCTCTTCTGTGCGTAAGTGGGTAAGATGGCTCAGAAGTTTAAAATGGATGGGATAAACATCAACAAATTAGTGTAATATCAGGGAAGTCTTTTTACCCTCTCTATAAAGACTATTTACTGATTTGTTTCAATCTCCAAATTCTAATATTTTGATATTTTTTTCAAGATATGTTCTTGAAGTAGATCCTTGTCAACTTTCTAGCTTAGGGTTTTCATGGACATCCTTAGAGTTAGGCAGGGGGTTGAGCATGAGGGTTGCATCAGGGCATAGGAGTCAAAATCATGAGTCATTCAACAGTTGTTATTCTATAGTTGTTAATTAGGGCAAGTAGAATATGCTTTACTGTCTGTCAGATATTCTTGAAGTCCTTTCCTAATAGTCTGCAAAATGCTCTTTAATATCCTGCAAGCCTGAAATTGCATTGTAAGACTAAAGTGCTCTATCCTGTCTTCTTTCCAAGGAGGCAGCTGTGCAGAGCTGCAAACCGTGACATGTACATGTGTGTGTGTTTGTACAAATACACAAGTTTCTTGCTTGTTTAACTGCTTGCTGGTGCAGTTAAAAACTTTCAGTCTGAGCTTGAGGATGACTGGGGCCGTCTCTTTCTTCTTTAGGAAATTTGCACCGAGATGCTCCGTGTGTAAGGAGCCCATCATGCCAGCTCCAGGACAAGAGGAGACTGTACGCATTGTCGCCTTGGATCGTGACTTCCATGTCCAGTGCTACCGGTGTGAGGTTAGTATTCTAATCACGTGAAGGACAGAAAGCAAAGGTTGGCTTAATTTAATCACCACTTCATGTTATACACACGTCTGGCGTACCCTGTTGTAACACTGGCTCTACAATCAAATTACTTCATTGACTTCAGCATGCAAGGAATTTTTCCTCATTTATATCAGCACAAACGAGAAGAAAATCAGGTCCCTTGTTTATAACAGGTTCATTATGAGAGCAGGAGAATGTGACTCAGGTAATTAGGGCTTAATATTTGAGAACATCATAAATTATAGCTTGGACACAAACGTTGCTCATGTTTATGTTCTTAAAATGAAAGCTAATGCATGTTAGAATTTGAGCAAGATTGTACAGGAAACTCAACATATGGCTCTGGGTTGAAGAATTTTAATGGACACATAAACATGATCATTCTTGTTTTGTGCAATGCTTTTTGTGCTACTTCCCTGTTCAGTTTCATTATGCACTTCATATAATTTTGATGGTAAGAATCTGAAGACAGAGAAGAAAAATCACCTTAAAGCAATTAACATGTGGAAACAGCTGTGTTAGGGAACCTTCAAGAATTCTTCAATTCAAGTGTTACTTGTTGGATAATACATCAGCCAGATGGCAGGGTAAGAAAATGAGACCAAATGTATTTCTTATCGCAGTTGCAGGTTTTAATAACTTGAACCGGAAAGAAGGATGGACTAAGGCTTAAAGGTCTAGGCTGAGACTTGAGGCATCTGGTTTACTTCTCAGTCTGACCTTGGCTTCCAGGGTACATATCAGCCCATTACTTAGGCCTTGTTTTTCTTAGAGATGCTGGGGCGTTCCTGCACTAAATTTTGTAGAGCCTAATTAGTCATGCAGCGTGTTCCCATGCTGGCTGCTGAGGCACCCAGGCTTCATGCACAGGAATGTCAGAAGTAGATGCAATGGAGAGCACGGACACTCGCTTGGCCTTGATCTCCATGTGCCTTAACTGTCTCAAAAGGAACAACAGTGATATTTCTCTTTCCACCACTTGCATTCCAGGTGTACTTACAAGCACAGATTTATGATGCAGGGGCACGGCCTCTAAGCGAACTGTTTTGGGCCTTTTAGTGGGGTTTCCATCTGCCTCAGTGACATCCTCCTTTCAGCAACAACCTTTTTGGGCCAATTGCAATACAAACAGGTGACAATTCTGGTAAGGGGAGACAGGCAGGCAGGCAGTTGGCTTAGCTGTCACCCCTGGAATAGATGCTATAGCTTTCTGTCATTAACTCTTCCAAAGGAGATTACCTGTAGTCAGATATTGGTACCAGACTTTCTTCCCAGTGATGCTTCTTTTTTTATCATTTTTTTGCATTAATAAATATGTGCTTAAATTTGATGTTTTCGCCAGTGCTTAAGACCTTTCCTTCCTCAGAAATGTGAAGGGAATAATCTCCTTTTATTTTCAATTGGATTAAGTTCAGCAGAGAACTTGGGAACCCATCTCCTCTGCAGCATTGTCCCTTATCTGGAAATGGCTTAATCGTGAAAGATATCACGTTCCTCAGCTTCATGCTTTATGCTGACTCAGGCTGGATCCTGTTACAAGGTGGAGAGTGAGGAGAGAGTTTCTTTGACTAATAGATTCTTCGCTTCATCTTGTTCTTCTTTCTTATTTACTTTGCTCTTTCTGTTTGCTTATTTCTTAGGACTGCGGTGGCCTCCTGTCTGAAGGGGACAATCAGGGCTGTTACCCTCTGGACGGGCACATCCTTTGCAAGACCTGCAACTCTGCTCGGATCCAGGCTCTGACTGCCAAGGCCAGCACTGATCTCTGAGTATCAACTGTGACCCTCCCCAGGATGCCCGTTGGGGAATATTGCACAAGCTTTGCATGATTTCTTTCCAGCCTAGGGTCTGAATCTCTATTTTAAAAAAGAAAACAAATGGAAAAAAAAAAAAAAAAAAAGACAAACAGAAAATGAAAACTGGAAGGCCTTGGAACAAGAGGGCAGTTCGAGAGACCATGTTCAGACTGCCTGTGACAGGCACCTAATTTAGACATGACTTTTCAGGAGGGCAGTGAGGGAGTCAGACCACCTGCTGTCACTGCAGCTGATGGAGATAAATGGTCACAGCACCAAAGTTATCTGTCTGTAGAAGGAAGTCTGAACATGGTCCTAACTGTATTTCTGTCCTGTCTCTTAAGAAGTTATAGTGGTTTGACCCCAGTCAGCAGCTAAGACTACACAACTACTCGTGCAGTTCTCTCCCTCCTCTCCCAAGAAGGGTAGGGAGAAGAGGGAGAAGAGGTGGGGAAAGGAAAGGGAAAAAAATTTGTGGGTTGAGATAAAGGCAGTTTAATAGAACAATAACAGAAAATAACACTAGTAATAGTGGTAACAGAATATATTAGATAAAATACTACTACACAAGTCTTTCTCACCACTTGGTGAACTGGTTGCCCAGGTCCTCCTGAGCAGTGATCGTGGATTCCTGCTCCCCAGCCAACCTCCACTTTTATACCAACCTTGACATCTGTGGTACAGAATATTCCATTGGCCATTTCATTGTTCTGTCTGTGCTCATTCTCAGCTTCTATGGGAAGTTGAAAATAGTCCTTGAATAGTATAAACATCACCTAGCAACCACTAAAACAATATACATTATTGAAATTACTTTCATACCAAATTTGAAAACATGGCAACAGCAAGAAAGAAAATTCACTGTGTCCCAGCTGAAACCAGGACAGTAGTACATGAAGGTAGAAGGTGGAAGATGGCTGAGCCAGTTCTTTCTCCCAAGTTATTTTGAGAACTTGACCAGCTCTCATTAAAGTCATGGGGAGCTTCCCTTTGACTTTAGTAGGATCTGGATCACCAGCAGAAGTGGCTCCACTGCCCTGGAAGGTGTGAGAGCAGACACAGCATTCCTCTCATCACAACATGACAAACAATGCAACTTCAACTGTACTGCACCTAAGAGTGTAGGTCTGACCTTGTATCCTTGGGACACAGATTTGTCACCCACTTTTTTTTTTTTTTCTTAGGCCCTTCCTTGTCTCCATTCCCTTCCAGTTCAATAGGGTTTTTTCTCTTTCTTATGAAATTATATTTTGCTATTGCATAAATTTATTCAGCAGTGATGCTTCCAATTCACAATGTATGAGCAATCACACAAAGATGTGAGCTTGCACACACTATACACTACGCACACACTACACACACACACGTACACACACAATGTGCTTTTGATTTAGCAGAGGTATAAGCCAATCATGTTCCCATTGAGAAGGTCTTTTAAGGATGTGGGGCTAGAAACACATTTTTAAAATCCCAGTGGTTAAAAAAAAAAAAGACTACGTAGAACTGTGGTGCAAAGTGATGCTCAAAAATATCTTATGCCACACTCTCTCACTCCCTGTTTTAGTAGGACCACTGGCAGTATTTGTTTCTGGGTAGACATTTAAGCAACAGAGTCTTTTTCCATCTCCTGTTTATTGCAATAGGAGGATTTTCCTTCAACTGTAATGGGGATTGAATTAGGCCTTGGGATATGCATTTCTCTGATATTAACACACGTGATCTGGTGCTCTCATTAAAAAAAATAAGGTTCTTATTTCAACAACAGCAAAAAGGATCCTCCTAAATACATGCTGTTGTTCAGTTTTTATCTTAAGAAAGGTAGGAAGGTATTAAATCCTTCTCTATGGCATTCCAAAAAGTAAGCTCTTTTTTTTTTCACCTCTTTCATTTTCATCCCAGCCACTTATAACTTCTCTCTGGTGAAATGTCATTGCAGAAGAGTGCTGGGCCAGCAGCAGCATTTTCATCTTCAGTCCAGAATTAATACATATGCCAAGGTAAATAAAAGCTGGGCACAGATAATCTTTTTTTCTCATGTTGGTGGGTTGGTTTGGTTTTTTTTTCAGTTTTGTTAATTAAAAAAAAAATTAGAAATCCACAGCACTCTGAGCAGCTATAATATTCTTGTTCATGAAACCCATAATAACTAAGGTGCAAATTACATAGTGAGGGAGTAATTTTCATATCACTGAATTGACATTAATATCTTATTTGCAGATGTAATCAAAGAAAATACCTTTCTTTGCACTTAACAAATTAAGAAGCAGAACTGAAAGAGTTGCAGGCTGATTGACCATCCAAGTGGCAAACTGGCACTTTTCTAGAGTAAGTTATAAGAATTTTTTTCATGCACCTACTGAAAAACAATAAGAATGTGGTGCTTTCATCTTTATTCTCTACAACAGAAGCCTGATATAATTATACCCACTAATGCTGAAAAGAAAAGGTTAGATGAGCTAGACTGATAGGAAACAAAGAGGAAAAATTGAGATATTCACTGCAGCTCCTGCAAATGGTGCATTTCCTTTCAGCTTAGCTCTAACCTTTATGGAAGAGCACTGTGAAATGTAATAGCTTTAACTGTATACAGTAAATTCAAATACAGAAATACCAGTCTGAAACCTCTGTTCCTTACACGGTTTATATGCTGGCAAACTCCACCAGTGTCAGGGAAGTTTCCCAAAATTCACAGCTCAGAATGAATCCTTCTTTGTAGAAGGGTGGCATCATTAAGCAAAAGAAATCATTCTCCATCATAGTGGCTGTGCTGAAGCAATTTGCCTTTTTATACTAGATTTTTGCTCTGGCCTTCAAGAATTTTTCTGCCTCAGACGTAAACAGATTTTTTTGCACCGTGACTCCTGCCAGGTTCCATCTGGGCTCCTGCTCCCTGAACCGTGGCACGTAAGATACTTCTGAGCTCGCTTCTTTACATGCAATCTGCACCACCACCAGTCAAAAAAACCTCACAACTATTGAGCAAAGGCAGTTTGAACTAACGCTATAAAAACACAGGAGATCAGACCTGGGATTGTGAACACCATTGTATCCCTGTGGAGGTTTTTACACCTCTGCAAGCACATGGTGCTCTCGGGTACAGAATAAGCTGTTCATTGGACAGCAAACATAGCTCTGATCTTCCTTTTTCTTGTTAGTGTTAAATCAAGCGGCTGATGAGAGTCTCCTGAATAACATTGGGGTAATTGATGGAAACGAGCTGTTGTGCCTTCCTGCAGAATGTGGCTTAGACTAAGGAGGACCAAAGTCCAGAGCCTTTGGGCTTTTTATGGCCTTGCCATAGGCTGGCCTTGGAGGAAATCATATGGCTTCTCATCTTCCGCCCTCTGCACGAGAGGGCTTCTTTCCAACTTCCCAGGGACGTTATGGGAATTAAACTAATCACAGGTTGGCCCAAAGTACTGATTTTTGGAGTTCTGTCTTCTCTTTCCAGAAAAGTTTGCTGGTATGTAGGTTTGGGATTCCAGCCTGTTTCAAAGCTAAGGGCCAGCCAGAAGATGTAGATCTGAATGGTCTGTGTTATTAGGGTGCTGTGGTGAGTTGGGCTGGCATGCAGGGAGGTGAGAGCCAAACTTTTCAGGCATTAAATACTCTACGGATGGAAGATGTTTGACAAAGGTTGAGCAGTGTTGACATTTGAGGTACTGTGGCTAATTTCTAGACCTGACACATCTGGGCAAAGGTACTATCATGCTTTTGTTTTCACCCCTGAAACACCAAAGCCATCTGCCTGTTGGAAGGAGTGAGAGTCCAAAACACTCTTCTTTATTTTCTGTAATGTGTGTGGCTTTGGCTTCTAAGGCTGCTATAAATATATTCAGAAAATATTGCATAAATGTATATACATCACAGAGGCTCTCATCACCCGCATGTGTATGGAAATCTCCACTCTGATGCTTCAGGATTTAATTAGGAAATGCTGGTGGACTTATCTCAATTGCACTGCAATTAAGAACCACTGGGATATTGCTTCATCATAATATTTATCACATATTTATATTATATCCTGTTTTATCTGTTCCAAAGAAGGAGTCTTTTTGCCAAAGAGACCTTGCTTTTCTTAAGGTGCACTTAGCCATGATAAAAATTCACATCGTCTGTAGCTGTGGTAATGTCCAACCTATTGCCTTCAGAAAGAATTGGAAGATCACACAGACATTTCTGTTCAAGTCTGCAGTGTTTTTGCTTATGCTACTTTGGCTTTGTCTAGCATTTATTGGCAAGTAGGGCATGATTCTGGGATTTGCGTGGCCAGACAGGGCCAAGGGGAAGGTCCAGGATTAGGTTCTAATTCAGCAAAAATATTTAAGCCCGTGGGGTTTGTTTAAGCACAGGCTTAAAGCCATTGCATGGTGTAACGTAGGCCATGGGCCTACAGTCATTAATACCAGACTGATTCTGTATCACCCAGTCATACAGATTTGATCTGGGTAGGATGTGAGCACAGTCAAATTTCTGTCAAATTTTGCAGAACACATAAAGTGGCTGCTGTGTTACCCTTATGCCAACTGCAGGAGGGCACCTGGTGGATGATCCAGTGCAGCATTTGGACAACTAGAGGATGAGTTATTACAAAATCAGTGCTTTGTGTCTGGTGGCTGTGGCACTTCCCATATGTCACAAGTAGCCCTACAGCCAGATTTACTGTATCTTTGAACCATGGCTTTAAAACTGTCTACTTAAACTTTCTCCAGAAGATTGGGTTGCCTTGGTTACGGCCCAATCCTTAAGCATATCCCCAAGGCTAACACATAACAGTATTTTGTGAATGTGATGGTTTTATTGTCACTTATTTTAATCATTGTCTCAATGTTGCATTTAGAAAGAGAAAGCAGCACCGTTGCCTTAGCCTGTCAGATAATGCACCTTTAATTTTGATTTTGGTGTGGGTTTTTTAATATTTTAATTCTTAGATTTTTATCACGGCTGCAAAACACTAAGGTAATGACTTAATCATAGAGGTGTGGGAATACCAAAGTGTTTATCATAGTGAACTCTACATAATAGCATTCGTCCTGATGGCAGGAGCGAGACTTTCATGAGACACAGGCCTTAAGTTGACTTTCTACCTATCAGCAAAATGTGC